TAATTTGTTTATCTTTTACTTCAATTATGACGCAAAAGGAATCCACATTTGTAAAGTAACTGACGCTGTTAAATGAAGTTCTATTACCTTAATTTTCCTTAAGTAAGCATGTGTCCTTAATGCATCTAAGAAAACTGATATATAAATTGCCCAAAGCAGAAATAATATTTCTACCAAGTTCCATTATCAAGAACTTATTAATTTTCTACTACTGATCATCAAGGATCAAAGTTCATTTCATAATTCATCCACAGAAATTGCCAAAGAAACACGAGGAGATACATTCAATGGCATACAAAAATTGTAAAAAAATAAATTACTAGAGCATCACCTTGTCTGGACTGAATTTCAATTTGTATCTTGACAAACTGTGAGACAAACCAAGGCTCATTGGCGCCAAATCTTGAGCAGCCAGACCAGATATAAGCTCAGATAATTGACTCCTCACTCCCCTCATAAGTTCCATGACAGCATTGTTGTGTACACATTCTATTTGCTACATTGCATAAATATAATCAGTTTGCAAAAAAAAAAAGACAAATCAGCATTGTAGGATATAATTTATACGACAGTCTCAACTCACCAGCTTCTCTTTAATTGTGTTACCGAGCTTGGAGTCCGCAAGAGCTAAGATGTCGCCATCACAATGGCTGCGCAAGAACTTGCGAAGACCTTTGCTAGGTTTACTATCAATTAACAAAGTGGCAGCAGATAAAGCCTCGGACGTGTTCTCAAACTTGGAAAATGCTTTAAGCTTGACAACCTAATGGTGAAAAACAATAATATTGATAAATCGATCAATCAACTGAAACACACAACTTAGCCACCATACTCAAAACACCAAGATTAATCTCAAAAACATGCCATATCACATCCAAACAGCTTACGTAATGGATACACCAAGAGCAGTGACTGGTAAAATATCGATAAGATTCAAACATTCATACTAAATGATGAAAGACCTACATAGATGCACATTTTGATGGAAAATAACACAAGGACAATGTTATAATACAGGTCTTGTCAGAGCCTTCCTATCAAACTCGAGTGAAGAAAGAAGCGAAGTTCACAACAACGTTTGGATCGGTTAGTTGACAGCCCTGCCGGGTTCAAATAATGACTTTTACACTGTATTCAGGATGAGAGTTAAACACCACCCTAACACTCACAAACACACTTACTAACAGTAGAAGTTGAGTCCACACTTTTAAGAGGTCCTGTGTAAATTGAACAAATTACTTCATGGCATATATTTTAAAATCTCGGATGACCTACATCAGTCAAGTCAGTACATGACCTTCAATGTTAAAAGATCACCACCATAACCCAACTGGAACCAGAGTACTCGACTCATTCCGCTATTATCAATCACATACAGAAACACATACAAACACATACACGCACACACACACATATACGTATATATAAACTCAAAAGCCGATACAGCAGACCTGTCTGGCAGAGTCCGGGGTGGAGAAGTCCTTCCCAAGGTCCTGCAATACCAGGAAAAAAAAAACACAAATATGATTAAAAGAAAACCAGAATAAAACACACACACACACACACACACACACACACAGAAAAGCACCTCGACTTTGGAAAGTTTTCCTTCATCCAAGACTTTGAAAAGGGCAAAGCCAGCCGGAGTTTCAAACAGCAGCAACATTCTTGTTTCAAGCCAGCGTCCAAGCTCTCTCTCTTTTCAGCGTTCGCTTCGGATTTATTTATATATAGTCTAGGGCATCGTTTGGTTCTTCTAAATATAATAATAATGCACACGATCAACTGGGCCATTATATAAATAGGTTTTGTTTATTGGGCTTCTATAATGCTTTCAACTTTTGGGTTATAGTTCATACGCAGATATTAAATAATTATTATAAATTAAATGTGAATTTATTATATAATTAGTAATTATAAATTAAATACTAGGTAAATAATATTAAATAATGACTATAAATAAAAGATGTAAGGTTAACATTTGATATAATTTACACTATATTAGTTTATTGTAAACAATATAAAATTATCTTGTATATAAAAAGTAAGAAAAATGTATGTTTAAATTATTAAAAATAGAGTATCTAAATTTTTCTATATTATTATTGAGAGATGAGAAATCACTTAAAATTTTTCTAAACTATATTGTAAAGAAAACATGTTCAAAAACTTTTAAATTTCATATATGTATAAAAGATGTTAAGTCGCCTATAATTTTGTAAAACTATTTTGTAAACAAAACATGTCTACAAATATTAAAATTTAACATCTTCATATGTATATATGTATATATGTGTGTATATGTATATGTATATATAGATAGCATGTGTAAAAAAATTGTTTAAATTTTAAAGTATATTATAAGGCTGATATGGGATACTATACTTAAAGGAATAGACTGACTCACTCAACCGGCTTAACGAGTCAGAGCAAACCGTGCAGGCTCACTCGATCGAACGGAGTCGAGCAGAATGGTCGTGGTCGAACACCACGAGAACAGCTTACTAAAGACCCAAATACGAGAAGAACGGGTCGGTCCCAAGTTTTTGGAGGATTTGATCGAAGATTGACCTGACGAAAGGGTCCTATGATCCACCACTTCACATACTGAAAGCAGTCCGAGGATAGACTTAGACATGGTCGAGCAGAAAAGCCTTCGAGGAGAACACAAAGGAACCTTTATCCCATGTGCAGAGGACACATGGCGTGACTCGATTAGTCCTCAATGAATAACTGTTTATGACACACGCATACTATGCGTGTACGGACGGGCAGGACGAGCAGTTTTGAGCAGCTAGCTCAGCTCACCCAGGCAGCATCTAGAAGCAGGTATCTCACCCCTATGTATAGGGGTGAGCTTTACATTTTGAGTACGATTTACCCATTTCTACTCTTGAGAATTGAGTAGGG